CAGAATAAAGGAATTGTAGAACTGGAAGATACTGTAGACACCATCTAACTCTACTTCCTTATTATATATATGAGGGTTCTGAGGCCAGGGGACTCTTCAGGCACTGTCCAAGGTCAGAAAACATGCAAATACCAGGTTATACTAAGGTCAGATGTAAGGATAATACATACTTTGTAAGTTTTTTTTTTGTCACTATTAGGGAATAAAATAGGTACAATGCGGTGCTCTCCATACAAGGTGATATTATGGTCTGAAGATTAAGCAAGTCAATTGCTGGGTGCTTCATAACAACAGTTTTTTATTTTTACTTGGATTTTGGGTAAAAGATGATGATATTCATGCATTTTAAGACAGTTTCATTTTAAGACAGAGTTTTGTAGAACTCCAAGTTAAGTTTTTTCTTTTTCTCTTCTCCTTAAACCCAAGATAATTCATAACTCTCCCCTTTAGAAAAGAGAATCACACAAATGAACCGAACCAAGTTAACCAAAACAGCTAATTTCAGTTAACAGAAGTATTAATATATTTCAGATGAATTTTAATTTTATTTTTTTCTTGTGTTCAAGACAATTGTTTAATATCAATGTTTTCTGCCCTGGCCAGGTGGCTCAGTTGGTTGGAATGTCATCCTGTACACCAAAATGTTTCAGGTTCGATTCCCATCCAGGGTACATACCTGGATTGTGAGTTTGATACCCGGTCAGGGCACATATGGGAGGCAACCAATTGATGTTCCTCTCTCTCTCTATCAATAAAAATGTATCTTCAGGTGAGGATTAAAGAAAATCAATGTTTTCTTTTCAGGTCAGCCACTTTAGATTCTGAAAAAAATATATATACTGTATTTCCTGGAGAGAAATATATATTATTGCTTTATGCTATTCATTTCAGAGCAAATCAGGTAGACTTGGGGGAAAGCAGAGGGCAGAGGACTATGTTTCACTGTGGTGATCATTCGTGCTAAGTTTATATGTATAGTAAGTTGCACCACACACAAAATTTAGAAAGACAGCAATTTCTGAAAAATTTAGAAAGACAGCAATTTCTGAAAGGATTCTCAACATGAGTAAAGTCTAAAAACGTTGATATGATTACTATTCTCCTTAAGCATAATCGCATTTTTGTTCTATCCCAGGAAGGCCGATTGCAGATGTGTTCTAAGAGTGCATTTTCTTTCCAGTAGGGGAATACTTGAAACAGAAGCATGTATGAGAATCGTGCCTTATTGGTTTTGGTTCTATTTAAAGCAAATGCTAGGAATGGAGGAGGCGAGTGAACCATCCTTGTCTTCCCCCGCCCCACCCCCCAACTTTAGGTCATTAAAATTAGAGAGGTTTAGCAAATGATGATTAAGTTTTTCAGTGGCACATGCCTTAGTGTCCTTTTCTGATCGACTACTACAGGAAATGAAGACTCCTGCAAAAATACAAAAAAAAAAAAAAGGCATTCCAGTGCTGTTTTATATCCTAGGCGAAGTGTTTCATAGGATCCCTAAGAGTTGAATGTCTGGGCAGAAAATCTCAGGTCATTACCTTAAAAAGCTCTTTGGCAGACCAGTCCCCATTACCAGGTGCCTGTGGTGCTTTTCTTAAATAATCAATCCCATTCAGACAGAGATTTTAAGGTCCTTGATCATCTTTCTATTTCACAAGCAGTCATTTTTAAGGCTCAATGGCACTAAAGGCAGAATGTTTTTGAAGTCAGGTTTAGAAAAGAACTTGGTATATCCCAAAGCTGGCCTGATTCTTTCTCATTTTCCCCAAAGGTCAGATGCAAGTTCAGTTCTGAGAGCATTGCACTTGGGCATCTGGGTGGAGGCAGACGACATTGACTCCAGCCCCACACTCCAGCCTGGGAGGCCCTGGCAGCTGGAACAATGGCGGTCAATTTTAGGATGGCCTCCTAAATCCTAGAGGGTGGACTCAGATACAGCTTGCCTTGCCTCACTTTGACCCTTCAGCCTCAGCTATGAGCCCGGAGGCATTCATTTTTCTTCTCTAAACTTTTTTTGTTGTCGTTGATACTCACCTGAAGATATTTTTCCATTGATTTTTAGAGAGAGCAGAAGGGAGAGGGAGAGACAGAGAGAAACATCAATGTGAGAGAGACAACATGGATTGGTTGCCTCCTGCACGCAAGCCGACCAGGGTCAGGGAACCTGCAACCAAGGTATGGTGCCCTTGACCAGAATCAAACACAGGACCCTTCAGCCCTTGGGCCCATGCTCTATCCACTGAGCCAAACTGGCTACGGTTCTTCTCTAAATTTTTTAAGAGCGCGAAAAACCTGGTAAGTGAAGATAGCCAACATAGCATTGCAGGTATGCTATATATAAGTGTATTTTTAAAAATATATTTTATTGATTTTTTACAGAGAGGAAGAGAGAGGGATAGAGAGTTAGAAACATTAACGAGAGAGAAACATCGATCAGCTGCCTCCTGCACACCTCCTACTGGGGATGTGCCCACAACTAAGGTACATGCCCTTGACTGGAAACGAACCTGGGACCTTTCAGTCCACAAGCTGACGCTCTATCCACTGAGCCAAACCGGTTAGGGATGTAAGTGTATGCTTTTAAAGTGCCTTTTCCAGAGTCCAATTAGAACGTGTGCTTCACTGCCTTACTCTTCATAGGCCCCAATGAATTCCAAGAGGTCATGGCGGCAGCGCAGCAGCTACAACTTTGAGATTAGAAGAGCTTGCTCTTTAAAGAGCTATTTTTAGCTGGAAGGGAGACAGTAGGCCTCAAAGTACCTGGCAGGTATGTCCTACAAGGGAATCTAAATTGGAGGTTTGATTCCAGGGGAAGTCTCAGTGGGGCTTCTCTATTTGCTGTAGAAAAGGGTGGTTCAGCTGATTTTACTGCTGTTTTGGGGGTGGGGGTGGGGTTATTAGGGTTCCCCAGGAGAACTCAACCTGTGGTCCCCAGGACCTCTAGTGTAGGGCATACATTGTGCCTGGGCACCCCCCCCGC